TGAGCTGGGTTGGAGTTCGAAAGCCGTAGGTCGGCAAACTCTAGGTTGGCTCAAGCCATGATTGAACCTGTAGGTTGGCTACAAAGCCGGACATTTGCTCCAGAGGGTGGTTTGGATGTGTGGCAAGTCGAACCTTCGGAGTTCCACTTGCCTGCTCTCCTTCTCTTTCGATCGTTTGCGGCATCGACTTAATCCGCGCCATCCACCCTGATCGACCTTGGTGTGGAAAGCGGGGGTTTGAGGCCATGATCAATGGGACGGACATGGTGAGTGATGTGCCCTTCAGCCGTCTCTTCTCGGCAGTTGGGAAGGTGTTTGAAGAGCCATGCGGGATTACATGGCGCGATGGGAGGAACCATTGTTGGGAGGGTGTTTGAAGATGCGGGATTCGATGCGATGCGAAGGAAGGCAGGGATTCGATGCGAAGTTTCAGGACATTCTGGTGTGCTGTGTTTCTTTTTTTGGGGGGAAAGGCGAAGGTACAGCAAGTTCCTTTTGGGGCGGTTTCTTGGGGAGGCTTTGATGCGGTGTAAATGTTGATGGACTTGACCACAGATCATGGCCGGAATTAGGGTGTGTGTGGGTGTGACACACTGCCTGAGAACCAACAGAGGTTGGATGACACGAAGTTTGGAAGGTCCTTTCCGCCGAATATGGTCGGAAATTTGACAGACCCTACGGGGGGGAATGGTGAGGCTGGGACCACGACACCGTGTTCGACCCCGATCCCAATTGCTGGATGGAGTCGCAGATGTATTCCGGCGAAGGCGAAGACGGCGGCGAAGGGAGTCGCAGATGGAAACGACCGTCACGTCCGACGTTCTATCTAGATCTGACCCTGACTGTGACCGTTTTTTCATGTGTTTTCTTTCCCGAATGCGTAGCGAAGGGTTCCCGTCATGAACTCTCTTTCACCCGGATTTGGGATTCCACGGAAGTTCCACGCGCGCCTGCCAGCATTTGGGGGTTTTGGGATGGATCGAGGAGATGGGGTTCGTGGGCGGGGAACCAACAGAGGTGGGTCAGAACCCGACTGCTTCGCCTAGTTCGACTCTCCCAGGGTACCCCGGGATCTGCCAGGTGTTTCCGGGTGCTAGTAGTACGGTCACTGGCTACCTCTCGTTCGTGCCTTTGATATCCGATCATAGCCATCCCACTGCGGGTGGTTTGGGGGTGGTTTGGCACACACAAAACACGCACAAAAGGGCTCTGAGAAAGGGGGACACCCGCAGATGTTGGGTTGTTTTGCCCAAACTGTTTCTCTCCACGAACTTCTCAGATGGGCTGCTGTATGCTAGGCTGGTGAGTTGATGTTAGACAGTGGCCATGTCGACCATTTTTGCCATTGTGTTTTGCCAGTATGTGTTTCCAGTATGTCGCTGCTGCCAGGGTAGACAAGCTATGGACATCAGAACGGTTTTGAGCATGGAAAGGGTTGAATCTCTCAAAGCTTTAAGCCCGTACGAGTGGTGTAACATCCTTAGTACCAGGTTCTTCAAAGTGACCGAACTTGATCTGTTGGTTTGTGGTCACTTGGGCTTGCAAATGGTCACTTAGGGCCTCCCAAAAGGTCACTTTGAAGAAGCTGGTAAAGCCGGTATTTCTCGATCTCCAAGTTCAGCCCGCACCGTCCAGTAGTGAGACTTCGTTTGTTCGATGCCAGGCATGTTGTTGAAGACCAGCATCCGACATGCTCAGTTTGTTGAAGGCAGGGTGACGCCCGCGCCACCGACCGGGCGAGCGCGGCGATCACCACCCGCGCCACCGTGCTCCCGCTGTGCTCCCGCTGGTGCCTGGGAGACCACCCGGCCACATGTCGACGGCTTTCGGGAGCTGCGGACCTTGGTCCTCGAAGCAAGCAGACCCAAGGTGTGTTCGACCAGTCCTTTTGCGCACACTGAGCCAGTGATTGGAGACGTCTCAACTGACCGCCACATCCGTGTTCGACTTTGGTGGCCCAGTCACAACTCGTCAAGTTGAAGCCAGACATGGAGCCCTTCCAAGATGCAACGCCTCGTGGTTGTGTCAATTTCAATCGTTGGGTCACCAATGCGCCAGCAAGTCATCCTCCAAACATCACCGGAGAAGACCACCCCTCTTTTGTGTCAGGATCGGTTGCTGTTCGCCCAAAAGAAGAGGGATGGATAGACCATGTTCGTACTTTGGGGAACCTTTGGATAGTTGTCCCATTAATCAATCCCAAAGCTCTTGAACCTCGGGTTCGTCGGGAGGTTTTTCTTTTTTGCCGGGTGCCGTCGAGACTCCGGCGGCGTTCGCTGGATTTCAGTGAGGGTTCTCTGGTTTCACCCATGCACCAAGCACTTCCCCCGTTCCATCCACCTCCAGGGGAGAGAATTCACAAAAGACATCCACCTAGACCATCCAATGGGTGTCCAATGGAGATTCTTTGGTAGCGATGGGGGAAGTCCAGCCAGGTGAATCCAGACAGGATGGTCCTGGTGTGATGAGGTTTTGCACTCCGACCCAGCATCCAACAGAGGTGGGGGGTGAACCCAGGTACCCCAGGTTTTCCGGGTCCGGTCCCGGGAGACCTGGCTACCTCTCTTGGAACATCTTCTCCATCTGCGAGGTGTCGAGCTCTTCGACAACAAGTTCTTCCAACTCTCCTCCTTGGAGGCACAGGGGCAAAGAAGCCGGAAGGACTTCGAGGGGGTCTGAGTGAGCCAGAACGAGGGTTCCACGTGGTTTCTGAAGAACTTTCAAGGTTTCTTTATGTAATAGGTTTTCAGTTGCTTTGGAAGTCTTGAGCTGGCAAAGAACAGTTTGTTTTTTGGAAAAAGACAAAATTGATGGCAGACCCCTTGTTGTTTGGACTCTTCGCAGAACCCATTGGCAACTGCAAGCGGGTTGAAGTGTCTCCCAAGTTTGGCCACTTCTAAGAGGCGAACGCACCCAACTCGCCCTATTCCCCTCCTGAAGAAATGCGTTGCGTTTGTAGGGCTGTTGATATCTCCAACGCCTTGAAACCTTGCAGGCAACCTTTGAACAACCGCAAGCAATCCCTCAAAAAAGACACATGGTCTGGACCCATCCGTGCAAGGATCTAAATTCGGGCCACCAACTTGTCAAGCCCTCCTCCTCCTTCAGCTCTCCGCGCTCGCACCATCCCGCCACTCCACTCGGGCTCGCCGTCGGGCGAGGCGGGTGGGATGGATCCGCAGCAACGGCACGTCTTGGAGACGAGCTACGAAGCGCTCTTCAACTCAGGCGACACGAACTCGGCTTGGGCGGGGTCCGCCTCGGCGAGACGAAGCTGTGCTTGGGCGAACGAGCGCGAAGGGTGTCCAAGTCCTGCGGAGCACGGGAGTTCATGGGGGCGGTTTCTGACGTCGTTGACAGCGCTTCGATGTTCCCGCTTCTCCGCGCCTCTTCGTGGGGATGAACACCACTCTACCGCTACGCGTTCCGCGGAACGCGGCGCCGAAGCTCCAGGCTATCGGAAGGCTCAGCTGCAGCGTGCCTATATCGCGGTGTTCACGGGGGGTACTCACCCCGAGTACTCGTGGCCTGGCGATGATGGAGAGCGGAACAACAAGGTCCTAGAGAGGTTGGTTTCAGCCCCTTTTTCGCCCATCCCATGTGTACCACTACAGGGTCCTAGTTCAGGTCTCTCAACCCCTCTTGGGGTGGGGGAACAGGATCGGAAACACACCCCCCTCTTCCGTGGGGACCCCTCCGTTCCGACCATGAAAAGCGATGGGAAAGAGCTGAGGTTGTTGTAAGTGTCAAAGTCCTGAGTCAAACAGCTTGGTTGTTCGGGAAGAACCACGAATGAAATTCAATGGTGGGTGACCGGGAATCCTACCAGGATTCTCCCAGCGACCTTCAGGATTGGTCAGTGACCTTCTACAGACCTGGCCTGTTGAACCTGGGATCTCAAGGATGGTTTCTGGGGAAGGTTCCGGTAGGGTTCTGTGCTTGGAATCCCTAGAGTCTGTGGCGTTCGGTAAAATCCTTATAGCAAAAGATCCTTCAAGCAACCAGCTTGGTTGTTCGGTATGCGAGCGCTTTTGAGGGGTATCTCAATGATACCAGCCTGCTATCCGGGATCTCCAGCCAGGACACCCAGACAGCATGCTCCTGGTAGAGTCCTGTCCTTATGGAAATCCCTCTGAGAAGGTGATTGGAGACACTCTTACCTTTCTTTGGAGGGTCCAGTCGTACCGAACCTGAGAAGGTCAGTGGCACTTTGAAGGTGTGGCATCCCCAAGGCGTGGCATCTCGAACCTTTCACACCGCCCAAATATTTGGAATTGGTTCATTGGGAATTTCAAACCACTCAAACAGACATACCTCTGAACATCTCTAAACCTTCAAGTTGGGGTGTATCCACAGTAGATCCACTAAGTAGCCCTGGAAGCCCAGTTCGACTATATATTGACCGGCCGAAGGTTGCAGGAAGTTCCCGAAAGGTCCCCTAGTCAGACCATTCTTTTTATAGTCTTTGACTCCCAGGGATAAGTAAAAGGCCATCTGGACATCTCTGGACCAAGTTGGGGTGTGTCCACAGTAGTAGATCCACTAAGTAGTGTAGGGTTATTCCATTGGAGACCCCGAGCCGCGCCCCTGCCACGCCACCGCGCAGGTTCGTCCCCAAGGACGTCGGCGCGCTGAGCGGCACCGGCGCCTCCGCGGCGCCTGGGGCGGACAGTTCGGTGCGCCTCGGGGGGGATGCAGTTCGCGAAAAGGGCACCATGGTTTGTTGATCATTTGCGTAATTATCATGCATATGGCATATATGCATATTTTTTTTTTTTCAGCGCCTTCTCTTTATTGGAGAAACAGAAAAGAACCCCCACCGTTTCGGCATGTAGTAGAGCATTAGAGCATTAAATACGTAGATATCTTACAATAGAAAGACAACAAACGAACATCAAACAAACCGGGCCCTACGTGGAACCTTTCAGAAGAGATGCTTTTTACTTCAAGATCTCACTGGTTCCCAGATCCGTGCTTTCATTCTCAGGTCCGTGCTCATGTCCTCTTAAACTCTTTGGGCTTCCAACCCAAGTCTTCACAGCTGCTTTCCGACCCACTTCGGTCTCACGGGCGCACATCGCCTCACGCCTCGGTCTCGCCTCCGAACGGTCAGGTGGACCGGGTTGGATCGACGCGGGTCGGGTTCCACGGTCGGGTTGGTTCCCGAAGAAGGAACCAATGGAGTGACGAACGATGGTCTAGATATGTCTAGTTCCACGTAAGTATACGCCCAGATGGTCACCCAGATGACCATGGGTCTAGATATAGTCTTGATAGTTCCCAAAAGAAGGAGTCACTAGACGCTTTTGGGGAACTATCTAGGCCAGGCTCTTTTTGAACACGTTGGATGACTCCTACTAGACTCACTAGACATGTTTGCCTTTCTTACGGTCTAGCCACGGAGGTTTTTTTGGGACTTGGGATTAAGAGGACTAGGAAGTCACAGATGAGAACTTCCTGGGATTGTTTTTGGGAGGAGTGATATAGACCCCTTTTTGTGAGGCGTGTTCTGTCTCATGAGTGTCTCTTCCACGGGGCGCACCGGTGCAGACGACCCAGTGGTACCTGTGACACCGTGGCCCTTTGAGGCCATTACCTCGAATCGTGTCTCGTTCTTGCCACTTGGGACACTCGATGGAGGGGACAGACAGATTTGGGAGATGGGACAGGTTGTTCAGAGGGGACGATTTGGGCATGTGTGGAGAAAACACGGAAAACATCAAGGAAAAGCTAAGGGTGTATTGACCAAAAGAAAGTGGCGCCGCAAGCGGCTTGAAACACGCATTCTCCCATCTTTGATTGTATTTAAGGTATTTTCTATCGATGATTTGGGGATCACGGTCAAGATTGATTTGCGTGATGGGCATGCCGTGCATGCCGTGCATGTCGCCTTCGGACCTGTTTCATACATTAAGCTCAGCTTGCAAGCTTCGTGGCTACTCAGCTACTTCAAGAGACAAGACCACGCGCGACACGGTAAACGTCACCTGCAAGTTGTTCGAAAGCTTTGATGCCACTGCCGATCGCCCGATCAGTTGAAGCGAACTGGCGGACGTGCAGCTTGTCGCAGCCATTCGGCAAAACGTCTGGTCGGGCCGCTCATCATTTGCAGGAGGCAGCTGCAGGAGTCGTTGGAAAGCTGTGTCGAAGCACACTGCAGAGGTTTGCTCGGATGATGCAGAGACACCGGACGGCTTGCAAAGCTATGTGGGTTTGGATTTTCAGGGACCTCCTCAGCAATGGATTTATTGATGTTCCCACAAAACTTTGAGGGATCTCCTGATTTCTAATCCACACTCATGTAGCTGCTTGTGGAGTGGCGTCCACCAAACGAACAACATATCCATATAAAAACGGGTCCATTGGGATACTCGGACCCGCTGCAAAAGATCATGAGATGAACTCCGGACCCGCTGATTCAACGGACCCATCCTTAAGACGATGAAACTGACCAACCAGCAGCGGCCGCAGAAACAGAAGCACACCTGATCGCCCACTCGTTTGGATGCGATGCTTGCTTTTCCACGCCCCCGACGTGGCCACTATTAATGTGCCAATAAGTCATTGCATTTTGTCGTTTTTTGTGTATTGAGTCAAGTTTCAAGTGTTGTGTGTCGTTCTTCGGTTTGGTGTTGCCACTTTGGATGTCACTGTTGTTTGTTTGTTGTGTTCGTCTTTGCGTATTGTCAGTTGCTGTGTGATGTGGTTATGTCGATGTTTGTTGCTTGCTGTCATTTTGTTCCACTCGGCCAGTGGCTGGCGGGATGTTTTGTGCTTATGTTTGGTGTTGTCATTGTGGAGATTGAACTTGACAACAGATTCTGGCAATGCTCCAACCTCGGATTTTGAATGGGTGTGCGTCATCGTGCGTTGTCTCTGCTACTGTTTGTCATTGGACTGGCCAGGCATTGGGTGATGCCCTACAGCACAGGTCACGTTACTCGAACATCAAGCTGCCCCAGCCCTGTCGAGTGGGGAAATAGACTCAAACCATCTATAGAACCCCCTGGGCACTGGGGATTTATGCATGATCCTGTCCTTCTTGTATAGGATTCTCTGGTGACTATCTTGGCTTCTCGGCCTCTCGTCCTGTCAAGCTCCGCACAAGATCCGAAGCCAAGGCTGGGGATTATGGGTCCCTCGACCACCATCGACTGCGACTTGAGCTCCAGTGCCATGGCCGTCGTCATGGGCAACTCAGCCCGGGGCACCCAGGCCGCGCGCGAAGGTGGCCACAAAGGGGGAGGCGCGGGAGCGGCGCGCGCTCTGTGAACATTTTGGGGTGGTGAATTCGTTAAGGAGAAAGACAAAAGGATATCTACCTTGGGGGTTGGTCCAAGTGACCAATTGCCCATTTCATTCAACTTAACCCAGGAAAGTCAGACTGAAAATCAGGCTGGTCAGGTGAACGCCGTTGATCGCGAGCCGCGAACCTCCTCGTTTGAAAGCCGTCCCTCCACACCCGTCCTCGTTGATCGCGAGCGTGACCTTTCAGGCCGTGTCCAATCAGAACCCCCGGCGCAACAAGACCGGAGGCGGAGCAGAGGGGCCTTGGGTCGTCGAGCAGAGGGGCCGGCTGGGCGGCGGGCGGCTCGTTGGGGGTCGTTTGGGTGGCTACACCAGCCACTTGCAGCGGTGGCCTCCCTCCGCCAAAAGATTTCAAACGACTACGGAACCACTAGCACCGAAATCTAGGTCTATGATGGTCTATGGTAATGGAACCCTCCAAAGGGTTGTACAGACCGCTGGCAACCCGTCCAGAGTTCGCCATCGAGAGTCGTGAATGACGAGCAACGAACGACGAAGAACCATTTGCAGACACGCTTGATGTACCAGCAGTCACAACGGGGTGGTGTTTAGTCCCTAAGCGAGTGGATCATGGGCACCCCCAACCTCCATGGATAGCACCCCTTGGTGACTGCTGGTAGTTTTCATTGTGCGCAGTCCATGGAGCTCATTCTTTGAAAAGGCTCCCGGCGCACTGGAAAAAGGTCTCAGGAGGGCAGGTGGCTGAAAAGGAGACCTTGGAAGTCCAGAATGGTTGACTTGCGAATGATCCTAGTAGATCAAGCATTCAACCAAGGATCTATGTTCATCCAGTCAACAAGATCAACATGACTATGTAGGATCAACATAGATCAACATAGATCAGATCCAGTCTGGTTTTGTAGTGCAAAATCCTTAGTAAAACCATGCTTGTTAGGGGATGATGCAGGCTATGTCAGGCTATGTCAGGCTATTTAAACCATGGTAGTTCGACTTCGAGGGGAGACTTCACCACTCAAATGGATGCAGGTGGAGGGGATGCACATTCAGTCCGCCACTGGTCGGTCACTGCGGTGCTTTCAGAGGTGCCAAACTGGTCTCCCTGTGCCAAACTAGACTCCAGCCAGTCTCTTTCACGTCACTTCACAGTCACTTCACCTCTCACTTCAATGACTTCACGGTCACTTCAGAGTCCCTGAATCTCCCAAGATCCGTCTGGTCTCCTTTCCTTGACCTCCCGTTTTTCCGCACGCAAAAAGCACCTCCCTTCACCTTCATCCTTTACCTTTACCTTCATCTTCACCTTTCCCGTCCGTGCGCGCCGTTCGCGGCCGTTTCCATTCTGTTCCAGGCACCAGTTCGGCGGCCTTGGCCAGCGGCGTCTACTTCGTTCTGTCGCCCTTCATGTGGCCGCGCTGGAACGCCTTCATGAACCCCGCAGGCCGCGACCCCCGGACCCGGCCGCGCGGCACGGGGGCGGCACGAGACGCGAGCCGACCGGGAGACGTTTCCCGAACTCAGGTCACCTAGTCAGACATAGTCAGACCATTCTTTTTATAGTCTTCGAGGATGTTTTTTGGATTGGAAAAGCGATTATACAAGCATAGACCCCAAACAGCTTCAAAACGATTGGTTTAGACCAATATTAGTCAAAAATCGATTTCTTGGTTCGCCCTACTTTCACCCCAAGAGCAAACTGCTTATGAATGAATTTTTGTCGGCATTGACATCGCTATTTTCTTCGGCCACACTCCTCTCCAGTAAGCCGTGCCACAGAGACCAGCCACAGAGTTCAGGGGCGCGGCCAAGACAAGGACGAGGAGGACAAGACCCGGACACAGAGTTCAGGGGCGCGGCCAAGACAAGGACAAGAGGAGGACAAGAAGAGGACAAGGTCCAGCCACAGAGCCCAGCACAGAGGGCAAGAGGAGGACAAGAGCCCAGTAAGCCGTCCATAGCACACGAGCTCCCCCTGCTCTCTCTCTCTCTCTCTCTCTCTCTCTGTGTCTTTCTTTCTGTCTTTCTGTCTTTCTTCCTTCCTTTCATTCTTTCATTCTTTCATTCTTTCACTCATTCATTCACTCATTCATTCATTCATTCATTCTTTCTTTCTGTCTTTCTCTCTCTCTCTCTCTTCTCTCTCTCTCTCTTTCTCTTTAAGCTTCTCTTTCTCTGTCTTTCTCTCTGCAGAGCGCGCTGTGAGCGCGCCTTTCTGGAGCGTATTTCAGAGCGCGCAGAGCGCGCCGTCCGAAGCACACGAGCGCGCGCTGGCTCGCCCTGCTGTCTTTCTCTTTCTTGCTTTCTTGCTTTCTTGCTTTCTTGCTTGCTTGCTTTCTTTCTTTCTTTCTTTCTCTCTCTCTCTCTCTCTCTCTTTCTTTCTCTTTAAGTTTCTCTTTCTCTGTCGTTCTCTCTGCAGAGCGCGCTCTAAGCGCGCCTTTCTGGAGCGTGAGCGCGCCGTCCATAGCACACGAGCGCACGCGCGCTCGCCCTGCTGTCTGTCTTTCTTTCTTTCTGTCTGTCTGTCTGTCTGTCTGTCGTTATTTCTGTCTTTCTTTCTTTCTTTCTTTCTTTCTGTCTCTCTCTCTCTCTCTTTCTCTTTCTCTTTCTCTTTCTCTTTCTCTTTCTCTTCAAGTTTATCTTTCTCTGTCTTTCTCTCTGTAGAGCGCCCTCTGAGCGCGCCTTTCTGGAGCGTATGTCAGAGCCTGCGCCACAGAGCCCAGCCACAGGGTTGACAGAGTTCAGGGGCGCGGCCAAGAGGAGGACACAGAGTTGACAGAGTTCAGGGGCGCAGCCAAGAGGAGGACAAGAGGAGGACAAGGCCCAGCCACAGAGCCCAGCCACAGAGTTGACAG